ATTAAATTTGTCTACTCCATTAAGAAAATGTGAATAGTTTCCAACTCGATTTTTCAAAATGGAATTAGTCTAGAATGAAGGAAACATAAACATGATTTTCTTGACTATCAATCAGATCAATCAGGTCAATCTGTTTTTATTATTTCAAAACAATCGATCAAACCTAAACACTTTGATGTTGATAAACTAAAATAAAAAGGAAATATCTATTCATAAGCACAAAACATAGAATGTTTACTATGTGCAATCTGACTTCCCTCAGCTGCAAAATGAATTTTATAAATTGATCTATTTCTATTTTAAATAGTTAACTCTGTGCACAACCAAAAGATACACAAGAAGACAAAATCGCTTAAGATGTTTCTGGTTTAAATGAAGTCCCATTTTTCATCCTGTGCTTATCAAGAGAACAAATAAGTGCTATATATTACTACTTACTAGTTTTACAAACTGGTATATATATATATATATATATATATATATATATATATATATATATATATATATATATATATATATATATATATATATATATATATATATATATATATATTACAAAATCTTTAGAACGCTTTTAAAACAATATAAAGCAATGTCTGTGCTTGTATTTTTCTGTGTAATTGGTGTTGACCACATCTAATTCTTATAGCTGTAGCTTCTTGTATTATGTGGGATAATTCATCTCTAAGTGACGCTTCATAATCACGACATGCAAAGTTCTTCGTTTAGTTGGAGAAGTGATATATAGTGTACGCAGCGTCTTATCATACCTGCCTTTTATATAGTACAATGCAAAGTGAAAAAAGACACAGGACTTAATCCAGCTGCTAATTTCAGCATGTTACAAATCATTTATCTAAGATGTACAGCTTTTTATGTGTGCAACATGAAGTATTATTTGCTGCTGTAAAAGTTAAACAAACAAGAACCTCTGCAGTACAACTCTGTAATTTTCACGAATGGAATGGGGAAAGTGATAATCGTAAAAGTTTGGCAATTGATAAAAAATAGAGATAATAAATCGATATTTGGAATGCAGAAAACGCTACGCATATCTATATTTGCAATAGTTATGATTTTCCCCTTGCAAAGGATAATGAAAAGGAGGTGCTACCAAGGGCTGGTTCTAGGAATGATACGCGAGTCGGACTAAGCAGTGGACAAGACACACCCATTTTGTAAAACTGATAAAGCTGTTGTAAGAGAACTACGTGCACAACCACGGCACTGTTAGTTAAAGCAAATATAGAGTGCATGCTTTATAAAATTATTAATTAAAAATTGAGTTATTCAATTTTTGCGGTATAATACGCATAGGACAAATCCACAAAAATTAAATTTCAATCGCAAAATATTATGAAAATGTTAAGATATCATAATTTTTGTCCAAAACGCTGTCCGTGCTGTGTATCATGTCTCGTTAGGTTTCCACCTGAATTAAATGAAAACGTTGTAACTTATAACTGTATAATATTTCTTTATGAATACTAGAACATGAAATAAATGCAATTCGAAAACATTTCAAATAACTGAAAGATAGAAGAGCAGCAGAGCTTCTTATTAGTTCGGAATCATCTTGAACACAGTCATGTCAATCTTAAATGTTTAAAACGTAAAATACTTTCGCCATATATACCATTTGGTAGTGATTTCCAAAAAATGAATTCTTTGCGGTATAATGCAACCGCAGAAATTAAAACTGCAAAAATTAATTTGCTACATTTCAGGGGTCAAATCCTAAACATTTCCACCGCAGAAAATACATGTACCCGTTATACGGTAAATCACTACATCTATGGACGAATCAAAATATTTAAACACTTATTGTAATCTTTTATAAAACATATCAATTATAAACAAGTTATGTTTTGAAATTTAAAAAAAAATCATAAAGAGATTATGGTCAATAAATTTGAATGTTGTGATTATACGCGTTTAAACTTTAATAAAATTGACTTTTGGGACGATGGATTGCAACTGACATTTGGGTTCCGATTTTTTTTTTAGAAGAATTATAAATTTTTTGACATTTTCTAACAGAAGATATCATCATGAAATGCATTATTTAGCGTCTTCCTTATAATACAGGTCTTAGGAAAGGGGGTAACCCAAAAAACTATCGACAAATAGGGATCTTATAAAATCAAGCATGCGTTGTACAAAACACACTGTATGGAACATTTTTTCTGTCGCGATTTATGCACACGTACAGAGCATTATTATTCACTTCTGTCTTCGTCGCCCGCGTAGCGCAGTGGTTAGAGTGTCTGCTCTAGAGTCGCGAAGTAAGGAGTTGATCCTTACGTCGCCGGTTCGAATCCCACTGTGGGACGTGGAGACCGGTCCTTCGGATGAGACCGTATAAACCGATATCCCGTGTCGCAGTAGGTGCTGGCACAAAAAAGATCCCTCACTGCTCAATGGCCGTAAGTGCCGAGTATAGGACAAAATTTGCAGCTCTCCACCGGCAAGTGGTGGCGTCTCCATATGAGTGAAAAATTCTCGAGAGGGACGTTAAACAACATACAAACAAACAAATTCACTTCTGTCTTCAACTCAAGAAATTTATATGCAGAGTTTAGTTAAATTTTGCTTTTGATTTGCTAGAAAAAATCCTTGAGTGTCTGTTGTTTAACGTCCATTCGGCATTTTTAAAATAAAATGTCTTCTTTCCTTTGACTGGTTAAAGAAACCCTTAATTTAGTTTAAATTTTAAAAAAAAAAGTCCCTTTAACTGCGGATTTTTTTGCTATGCATAAGTTTAAGATATCTCTAGCATTTTAACAAAAACATTTCTAACATAAAACATCAATTTAAAAAGAAAAGAAAGAAATTGATAAATTTTAATCGGTAAAACTGTACAAGCATAGTCTTGATATGACTTACTTTCTGTACCCATCTACATGTATCACATCATTAGGGCGGTAGTGACGCATCGGTGTATGTTTCTGTGCGGGAAGGTAATTTTTTCTTAGATATCAGAGTTAAAACTCTAAATAAGTTCAGGTCAGTCAGCTCCGTTTAACTTTTTCCATATTTGAGATACAGAGATTAAGCAAAAGAAATTAGAACTTTAACCCTCCTCCAAGATCATGTCATTGAATTCTATTTCAATGAATATAGGTCATGTGAGGCAGTAGTGTGTGTAATTAGCATTTTATCTAACATTTTATTGATTGTAGGTATTGTAAGCCATGAAAAATATATCCAGAAAATGTGTATTTTTATAAGATTACCCGGTTAACTATAGTCGAAAATGTGTATTTTGATAACATTAACCGGTTAATTATAATCGATCGGAAAGTCTTGTGGTTAAACGATTTTAATTCTTTATTTGATTGCCATCCTTACTTTCATTACACCAAATGATATAAAGTCTTCAACATTTAATAATACATTTCAAATGGTCCCGAAAGCAAAATAATACATATTTATTATTGTTTAATAAGTTGATATTGAGCGAGTGTAACGAGATTACCACCAATTAAAAGTCCAAATTTTCAATGACTCTGTCCTAGTTTATACCATAAATATTATGTATGTGTATGAACAAATTTTGTAAAAATCAGAGGCACTTCCATCATTTTTTTTTTTACATCAGTGAACAATTTCATGTTTTTTTATCTTTCTCCTGGTTCAGTTATATGTGTCATTAAAATATATAGATTCTTCAGCATGTAAAATGTCTATTAACTATTTAAGATAGTCTCTAATCAACATCTCAACGATGAATTTTTGCTAAAAATATTTTTAAAGAAATTCTCATTTGTGAAATTTGGAAGAGCTGTGAGAATATTTTTGAATGAATTTTTCTGTTACAATGGAACAAGGCAGAAAACGACGTTATTCGCGAATTGTATGGCCTGTCAATGTATATTTACCTTTTGAATAATAAACATTTCTGTTATAATATTATTGGTGAGAAAGCACCCTTTATTTTCATACATACCTGTACATGTTTAACATCAGAACTCTACTAGAAATTTTAGCTGAAACGATTAAAAGTACAATTTCTTATTAGTAGCTAAACGAACTACCACTTTTAAAAATTTTCAGAAATTATGTGAAAAACATGATAAAGCATAATTGTCTATATTTGTCTGTGTAATTGTTGTTGAACACATCTTATTCTAATGGCTGTGGCTTCTCGGATTTCGTGGGATGGTTCCTCTCTAAGCGACTCTCCATAAGACCTTAAAGCCCCGTGTAAGTCTCCAACCGTGTTCTGACAGATTCCAAGTATCTGCCAGGATATGTCTCGCGTTTTAAAAGGAACATATCTTTCATCATCATACAGCATCAATGTCTGAAGGTCTTTCAGTGACTGTAAACACTGAGATCTATTACCTAATCTATAGTGAGATAACACAGACATCATTTCTACCATAACAAACGGTGACAGAACTAAGACTGAATTTGCTTTTTGTTGACTCACATTTTGCTCTAAACATAATTCTTCGATATAGGGGATATGCTCAACTAATCGCAAATTGTTTACCCATGCCATTTTCATCCTTCTACACAAAGGGAGATTATCTACTGCTTCATTGTATCTTTTTCTGTCAAATACATTATAAAACAAGTTATAATCCTGTGACAGTCTCTGTTTAGTGGGACAAGTGGCATGAAGTGTCTTTTCATATCTCCCTGTTCTATAGTAATACATTGCTAGATAAAGTAAATGAGACACAGGACCTAACCTTGCTGCCATTTTTAGCATGTTACAAATCAGTGTATCGAAGAGGTGTAACTTTCTATGTGGGATGCGACTTGTGGCACATGAAGTGCTGTTTGCTATTGTGAAGGCTAAAAAAACAAGAGTATCGGCAGTACAAAACTGTAATGTTAATAATTGGAATGGGGAGAGTGATAGTCGAAATAGTCTCTCAACTGATTTAAAATAGAAATAATAAACCGATAAATGAAAACCACAAATCCCTATCTCAAATATTTCAAACATGCCATGCCTATCTATTTCTGCAGTAGTTGTCAAGTGTCTCTCAGCAGGCAGTGGATACTGGAATTGACGGGTTACTGAGGGCTATTTCTAAGATTATTCCTAGAGTCGGACTAAGCAGTAGACAGGACAAACCCATTCTGCAATACTTGTATAGCTGTTCTAAAAGAGAATCACGTGTACAGCCGATTATTTTGTTTATGAACATGTTGTTCTGTGGAATAAAAAAATTGGGAAACACTCCTCGATAAACACAATGAATAAGATATTTGAAACACTTCCAAAAGCAATCGAGCAGATTATTAGGGCACCATCTTATATGCCCCAATTGCATTAACCAGAACATCGTTGTCTTCATGTAATAGGAACACAATACAGTTTCTCTCCTGTTATTGATAACTTCCTTCAGAAAAATTTTCAAAAGTCCGTAACATAGAAATTGTGTATGATTCATAGTACATACAAGTTGATGTTCGGCTTGGGAAAACGATAATCTCCATTCCAATTCGTTAGAAGGCGATACAATTTTACTTTCAATAGCCACACAGTGACACCCATTTCTTAAAATTTTTTCCAACACCGGTAAGGGCGGCCAAGTATGTCTTTGACATCTACCAATCCAACCTCGTAATGATTCGGGCATGTAAAAAGTGGCAAAACAAAGGGCATTATCATATTCAGTAGATCCTTCCAAGAGATTAGTACATGGACCATGGATTGTTATATTCTTCTGATTAAAAAAGCTATCATTGGCAAGGGAATGAAAATAGTTATATCTCCATAAAAAACTAGATATATAAACTCCGCCGTTAAAGGAAACAAGAACTGGTGTCATGTTATTCCTTATGGGTGTCAGGACACGCAGTCTGACAAATCCTGGTGGTGTGTCAGAATCTTCAATTAGTATGATATTATGTTTTGTTGCATTGTAAAGCCTAGCTTGGGAGATATCAGTTATAAGTTTATAATTACAAGGCCACGTCATCACATCCCTATCAGATGATTCAAGCCTGAATCCCTCTCTATAACTACCACTGTACATCCATACAGATTTTGTTACTGCATAAACCGCATTCATAATGATGTCCTCTATGTCTTTTATGTCCCTTCTGATTGCCACTTCTGTCTGTGTCCCTATCTTACAAGATAGACCTACATACAGGATCTCTGATAGACGTGGAATATGGTCCATCCTGTATAGAAAGATTAATTATTATTTCAATATACTCAGTTCAGCTTTATATACATGCTTGAAATTGTCAAATGCTAATTTTACGTGTAAAATATACAGATAACGAACAGTGATCAATCTCATAAATCCGTTAAACGAAAAGAATCGTGAATAGGACAAAAAAAAACGGACCCCTAAAACACTAGAGGTGAGATCAGGTGACTAGGATGAGTAAGCACCCCCGTCGACTGGTCACACATGCCCTTAGCCTTATATATTGATGAGGTACACGGAGTGCGCTTCAGTCAAATTTAGTATAAAAGCAAATCAATCCCTCTCGAGAATTTTTCACTCACACTGAGAGGCCACCACGTGCCGCTGGAGAGCTGCAAATTTAGACCTAAACTCGGCACTTATGGCCTTTAAACAGTGAGGGATCTCTTTCGTGACAGCACCTGCTGCGATACGGGACATCGGTCTATACGGTTTCATCCGAAAGATCGATCTCCACGTCCAGCAGTGGGATTCGAACCCGCGATGTAAGGATCAACTCCTTACTCCGCGACTCTAGAGCAAACGCCCTAACCACTGCGCCACAAGGGCGACCATATATATATATATATATATATATATATATATATATATATATATATATATATATATATATATATCAGATGTATGTTACAATCTCGCATTAAGCGATTTAGAGGGCAAAATGAAAACCAACTTTCCTTCTGTGTTTAATAATTCAGAAGTGGAAAAAGAATTAGATAGATAACACGATCAGTATGCACTGGTCCCTGCTGACAACGCAAGTAACAACAGTGTATTTGTTTGTAAGGCTCATTATTTAAATTATATTTTAGAGGAACTGGGATTTAATTCTACAAGAGGTAATCCAACTTATACCCATAGCACTCTTTCTCAGGAGGAAACTCTTCAAAATCATATGTCAGTTTTGAATATTTTTAATATATCCCAACAACCAACATGAATTTGAATTACTATATCTATAATGGATTCCAAAACTTCATAAAAATCCTTACAAACAAAGATACATAGCGGGTTCCAGAAAATGTTCTACAGAGGCTCTTTCTTTACTCCTCACTAAAATATTAACAGTAGTGAAGGAGAAACTTTAGGAGTACTGTGCAACAATATATTTGAGAAGTGATGTAAATCAGATGTAAATACTTTAAAATCCCAAGGAACAGTTGGAAAATTTAAAATCACAAAATTTTACTTAAATCAACAACATAAAAACTTACGACTTTTCAACTTCTTTATACAACCATTCACCACGATAAATTAAAGTCCAAGCTTTTCGATATCATTGACAGTTGCTTTTTCAATAAAAATGGAACTCGTAAATTTACTTACCTTGTCATTGGTCATTTCAAAATTATTTTGTTAAAAAACATTCTGATTGTATACACTCAAGTACTCTGAAGTTGAAATTTAAAAGAGGCTTGGGCTTTTGATTGACAATATCTATGTGGTTTTTGGAGACTAGGTCTTCCAACAATCTTTTGGAATTCCCATGGGTTCCACCTCTTATGTCATTAGCAGATCTATTTTTGTATTCATATGAAGAAGAATTTGTTCAAAATCTTATACGTGAAAAGAAGAAAACGCTTGCTGTGGCCTTCAACTCGACATTTAGATATATCGACGAGGTATTGTCAATAAACAATGGTTATTTCTATTCCTAGGTCGATAGATATATCCCGGTGGGCTTGAAATAAACGATACCACAAAGTCTGACGTCTGATGTGTCAGACATCAGTTTCATATTTGGATATTTTACTGGAAAAAAGACGTTAATAGCAATCTAACAACCAAGCTTTATGATAAACATGATGACTTTTACTTTTCAATCGTCAACTTCCCTTACTTATGCAGCAATATACATGTACCTTCTTCTCCTGCATATTGGGTTTATATCTTTCAGTTGATTCGATACGCAAGAGTATGTTCTACGTATGAACAATTTCTAAAATGAGGTAAGTTATTGACAAACAAGTTAATGAAACAAGAATATCAGAAGTCTCGTTTAAAGTCGTCATTTCGTAAGTTCTATGGTCGATACAATGATTTTGTCAGCAAAAACAATTTATCATTAAGTCAAATGCTGACTGACGTTTTTTATACTAATTGTTAGGCCATTATTTACACACTGAATTGTAGACGGATTTTCCCGTTATTTCACGATCATGACAAGGAGCACACGGCGGGTGTGACCGGTCGACTGGGGATGCTCAGTCGCCCGTGGCACCTGATCCCACCTCTAATATTTTAGAGGTCCGTGTTTGCTCTGCTCCAAAATTTTTATTGTTTAATGGACCTTTGAGCTTAAATACTATTCGTTATCTCCATATATATACATGTATATATATATATATATATATATATATATATATATATATATATATATATATATATATATATATATATATATATATATATATATATATATATATATATATATATAAACTTTTAGAAACATAGCCACTTAATGCTTGTGCGCCCTAAATAATAATGTTTGATGACCTTCTCTTCATGTCAAGGGTTTTTTTTTTGGCTTGGTAGTACCCCCCTCCCCACCACCAACTGAAAAAGTTTGTTGTGCCCCCAAAACTGAAATTGCTTCCGACGGGCCAGCTGAATACATTATATTTATCTTATACATTAACACTTAGTAGTTATAAAGTGAACTAACCGTTTATTGTTTTTCTGCAAATTTCGGTCTGTGTGTAAAAAATCTTCAGGAAATTCTTTCGTTTTCTGTTCTGTGTTTTATATTGTATATTAGAATTTAGAAATATTAGAAATTAGAATCATATTCTATATGTTCTTTTATTGCAAATAAATATAGACAATATTTTGGTAAAATAAAGAGAGAAAAAAAATTGTTTACAAGTTTGATACAGGTTTCAAGTAAAATATTTCTGTTGTAAAGTAAAAACATTGTAAAATCAACGCAGGAACTTGCATTACCTTTTCTCTTTTCTGAACAAGAATGAAACAGGTAATTCTTTGATAGAGAATTCCCATTCTTGAGTGATTGATTGATTGTATGTTGCTTAACATCCCATTCGAAAAGTGTTTATTAATATTGAGACATCAAGCGGCGAAGGGCTTCAAATATAGACCTATACTTGGCACTTAGGGCCTTTGATAAATGAGGGTTCTTTATTGTGCCAACCTCAGCATGAATTTGACCTCGGTTTTTAATTTCTTATCCGAAAGACACGTGACTTTCACTTCTAATGCCGAGCGCTGGGCAAAGAAACGAAACAGTCACTACCTATCAACGCTTTAGGATTAACGCGGCGTCGCGAACGAGATTTGAACCCGGGCCTTCCGATCATGATGCGAACACTCTTACCTCTAAATTATGTGGCTGGTGCGATTCTTGAAAAATTCCTGAAAATTTGATATAAAATACAGTAGCAAAATAATACAGAGATTTCAAAGTTTTATCAAAAAAAGAAAACCTTAGGAAAACTTTTGATAGACAAAAAGTTCTGTGGGTTTGGGAAATAATGTACAAATGACGTTTTGTTCATATTATTTTACATACTTTTTACTTCGTTATCAAGGAGAAAAAGGAATGAAAGGCAACCACAATTTCTATCCTATGTTATCACAAAGATGCTTGATCAATGATGATTAATCATTTTTTACAGTAAGAGAAAAACTTCAGCATGTTAATAATTCTATAGAAACAAAAAAAAATTAAGGGTACTTTTAATGACAAAACCAAAAGAAAGTCAATGGTATTTTAAATGACAAATAAGGAGAAGTGAACGTAATAGTCAATCTGAGGATATTTAATGTACAAGTTTTTATGAAAAAAAAATGAATAGGATTTTAACATCTTAGCATTTAACACAGGATCCGATAAAATCCCCTGAGCATTTATATCTATGTATACATGTTATGTAATACTTTACTGGGACATGTAAAAGTTGGCATGTGTTTGTAGCCCCCCCCCCCCCTTAAAAAATCAATGAAAAGTTATTTTTTAAATATTAAGTGATATGTCAGATTATTTTTTAAATATCACTTTAAAAGAATATAGAAAATAAGTTTTCTATCTATATTTTATCATTTTATTTAGAAATATCAATTGATTATTCTACTGAAAAAAAACTTACTTGGATAATTTGTTTACATCTAACCATTTAGGCTTCATTCCAAAAACTGCCTCCAAAAGCTTTCATATCTGTGTTATGTTAAACATCATCTGTGAAATAAAAGGGGGTATTTGTACGTGCGCTAACCTCTCCTTAATCTTTATTTTTTTTCATTTTTCATGATCACTTCGTTTCACTTAAAAATCAACTTAATTTTGATTTCCTTTTTGTGTATCATTGCATTTCCTCATTGATTGAAAAATCAAGCTCTGGATATCCATGAATTATTATTGTTTTTATTAATTTATTTATTAATATGAATTTATTTAGTTATTTCAGTGGATTTACAGATGTATTTACCTGTGCCATTCATTGTTAGTGAATGCGTCACTAAATAATATCAGTTCCTCAACACGTAAAATGCCTATTAGCTACAGATTTGAAATAGTTTCTAATTGACGTTTTGATTTTGATAATTTTTAAGCTTATGATATAATTGTTTTCAGATCAGTTGACGTATTGACTTTTGATTTTTTCCCCTAAGATTTAAAATTAATCTGAATTTTATCTTTTGTCAACAACACATGTTCATGATATCTGTCTATTTAAAATTTATTTGATATGCTATTGAAATCTTGCTAGAATTTTATTCAAGGAAAGTGGAGGGGATTCAACATCTCATTGGTCATTCTTATTTGTAGAGATTTATAAATAATAAAAATAACGAGTATATCTGTTTTTCAGTACATATATTTTCCAAAATGATTCAAGTCAAAAAGTCTGTCTTACAGCAACAAAATGTATCAATGAGGGTCTGCTAAAAGCAATTTTAGTTCCTAGAAACAGTTTTAACAGTGGCCTTTGTTAATGTACATAATTGTT